TTTACAAGCATTTTGCTCAGGGAGAGAAGCTGCCTAACAGAGTCTCCCCACTGTCCTATCCCTTCCTCCCCTAAATGAGAATCTTTCTAACTTAAGCAATCACATTTTATAGTAATCATGAATAAAAATATGAAGAAATTTCATAACAACAAAAGGACACAGCTACATAGATTTCAGTCACAATTTTTAAAATTATATTTAACAGTGGGAACAGTGACATATGGGTACACCCTTGGAGAAAATTTGACTTGTAGAAAAATTTTCTATATGCAGATATAGAAAAATTCTACTTCATACATATATATACACAGAGATAAAATTTTTTCTATATACATATATTTATATTTTTCATTTTCTGTCTGTTTTTATTTTCTATGTTTCTATCTGTCAGATAGATAGATAGAAAATGAATCCTGTTTTTAACCTGGGTTAAGAGAAGTAGAAAATGAATCCTGTTCTTAACCTGGGTAAATCTAGGTTCTTAACCTGGGATCCAAAGGGTCTGGGGTGAGGAGGTCAGTGAACTTGGATGGGGGCAAATATTACATCTTTATTTTCACAAACCTCAAAATGAAATTCCCTTCAATTATTTAAAAACATTATTGTGAGAAGAGGTCCAAACTTCAGCAGACTGCCAAAGGGGTCCATGACACAGAGAAGGTTAAATAATCCCTGTCTTAAAGTGTCACAGGAATCCGTTTACCTAAAGAAGGAAACTTTGGCAATAACTAGTGGAAAGAGTCCTGGCTTTTGGAATCAAAGGACTTTGAATTGAATCCTGATTCTGCCAATTTAGTACCTGTGTGACCTTAGGAAGTCACTTAATCCCTCTGGGTTTCATCTGTAAAATGAGGAGGTTGGATTATATGACTTCTCTTCAATCTCCAAATATATAATCATCCCCTGTGATCCTGTGACTGCTCTAATGTTGAGGTCAGATGAACACCTCTATATGAATTTTTCCTTCATTTATTTGATCATCCTCCCCTGAAGTCCTGTTCTGATGCCTCATTCTCAGATTAGTTTATGACACAGCTCTTAGTCTGAACCTAGTTTACCATAATTTCTAATCTCTGACTTTACTCTGTATATTATTGTAGGATGGCTTTATAGGGTAAACTGTCTCTTCTCTGGAAATATCTAAATGGATTTTTGTTCCCTTTTGTAGAGGATGGAGCTGTGAATTTAAAGGATTTTTTCAAGAAACTGGCTAAAATGGAAAAATTTCAGAGGTGTAAACGTGAGTATGAATTTCAAAAGGAAGATGTTTATAATCTCCCTTTTCTTCTGCCAATAGTATTTCAATTAAAATATCTGTGTCTCTTCCAATAACCTCCTTTGTCCCCATTTCCTATTTCATTCCTTTATTAAATAGGAGGACAATATTAAATGACAAACCAGGAATGCCCAAACCTATGTATATATATGTGTGTGTGTGTGTGTGTGTGTGTGTGTGTATATGTATATGTGTATGTACATATGTATGTATATGTGTATATGTATATGTATGTATGTATAAACATGTTGGCAGTGAAATTCTGTGTATTTAGTCAATCAACTGATATTTAATATTGATAATAATAGACTATTTAGGGTAATGTTTTAAAATTTGCAAACCATTTTCATACCTTATCTCATTTGAGCCTCATAGTAATGCTTTGAGGCAGGCGTTATAGGTATTTTAAATGTCCATTTTACAGATAAGGAAACTGAGGCAGAAAACATTTAAATAACTTGCTAGTCACACAGCTAGTCAGTATCAGAGACAGGATTAAACCCAGGTTTTCCTGACTCCACGTCCAGCACTTTATCCACTCTTGCCGATTGCCCCTCATAAAGTATCTACTGCGTCCAATGGGGCAGCTAGGTGGTGCAATGGATACGTTACCAGGCCTGGAATCAGGAGATCTGAGTTCAAATCTGGCTTCAAACATTTACTAGCTATGTGACCCTGGACAAGTCATAACCCAATTTGCCTCAGTTTCCTTATCTGTAAAATGAGCTGGAGAAGGAAATGGCAAACCAGTCCAATATCTTTGCCAAGAAAACCCCCAGTGGAGTCACAAAGAGGTGGGCACAACTGAAAAATAACTAAACAAAACATTTAACTAATAGCTACTGGCCCTTTGGTGATGTATCAGGCATGGTTCTGGCTTTCAGGGAGCTTAGGTTGAAAGGCAAGGTGTAAGAGTTAAGGGAGAAAAGTTGTATCAATTTGTGTTAAATAATTACAAAACAACTATGCATAAATTGCCATCAAAGGAAAAAGATGATAAACACTATGAGTTCAGAATTCTGTAGACTGGAATGAGCTTTTAAAAATCTTTACCTAGGAGGTAAGACATGAGCTAGATAGGTTTTACTTGAAGGATGGATAAAGTTACTGTCCAGGATTATCATTAGCAATTTGGAATGTGAATAGAACCAGTAAAGGGGAAGTCTTCTGCAGCCTATGTTTTCATCTCCACATTCAGGCCAATTCATGTCCTAGAAGAACCCAGGGGAACATTGTTAAGTTCCATGCTATCTTTCTTTCTGTATCACCTTCTATTCTGGAGGTTTTTAACTTCTCCTTCCCCTTGGCCAATGAGAAAAGAAGTAGCTGGGAGATGAGGAGAGATTATGGTAAGCTCTGGTTGGTTTCAGTCCAACAATAATCCTAAAGTATCTGAAAATCTTTGTTAGGACCTGAAATCTTATCTGTTCAACCAGAGACCTCAAGACATTGGAAATTGTAAATCCCTTAAGGGCCATCATGAGTCAAAACTTCTCTTTGCCCATCATTATCCATCTTTATATGAATTCCAAGAGCAGAGCAAGCTCTGAAGAAACCAAAATTGCTTTGAGATCTAAGATGTAGATGGGGGGAAGTGGCAAAACAGAAAATTCAGTAGTTGATGACCATATGGAAAGATTGTACTTAATTCCAGGTTATTAGAATTTCTATAATAATGGTAATAATCTCTTATATGAGAATAAGCTAACACTTATTGCCAACCTATTATAATCAAAGAAGAAATTCTAGGAATTTTCCATATGTTCCATGAATCATTTCTATCTTCTCACTTTGTGCATTAATTATTCAATCAAACAAGCAAGCATTTATTAAGGACCTACTCTGTGCCAGACCCTGTTTTAGTTGCTTAGGAAGCAAAGAATGGAACAATCCCAATTCAGATGGTGCTTACAGCCTAATATGGCATGTGTTAGTACTCTACTTATGATTATTTAATAAAACATGGCCTCTTTAGCATGATGTAATATGCCATTAATATCTTTTAGGTTGCCAGACATGTGGAGGAGCTTAGATTTCAGACTACTTCATTGAGTGCCCAGGTCCAAGAACAACAGTTTTAAGGAAACACATTTGTTCTCAGCATCATGTGTTAAATGTTTCCCTAAAACCCACCAAATTACTAATTTTGCAATTTGATTTATTACATACATATAGGACTACAACACGCATGTGATGTTTTTGCCAGCCTCATTGATGGGAATGTCAACGTTAGTCAGCTCACACCTACAATGGAGAATTTGGGGGTTTCTCTGAATCAAGATGAACTTAATGAGGCATTGAAATCTGTGGAGGTTGATGGTGAGTAATACACCATTACTTGCTCAGAGTATGTGAGTACTGAGGATATATATGTGTGTACACACATACACACACATATATGTATATATACTAAGAGTACACATATATACACTCATATATACTCACATGAGTACATTTATATAGCTATATCTATCTGGGGCAGCTAAGTGGCACAGTGAATAGAGTCCTGGCCCTGGAGTCAGGGTGACCTGAGTTCAAATGCAACCTCAGACACTTTGTGACCCTGGGCAAGTCACTTTTAACCCTGTTTGCCTCAGTTCCTCATCTGTAAAATGAATTAGAGAAGAAAATGGCAAACCACTTCAGTATCTTTGCCAAGAAAACCCCAAATGGGGTCACAGAAAGTCAGACGTAACTTAAACAACTATCCATCCATCTATCTATCTATCTATCTATCTATCTATCTATCTGCTATTTCCCATGTTATAGCCAAAATTCCTATCTTTGGATCATGATTACAAGATTTTTTTGTTAGAATTTTAAGACGTTCAAAGTACTTTATATGATATATCTTATTTGGTCAACCGATCAACAAATATGTATTTAAAATGCCTGCTACGTGCCAGGCACTGTGCTCGGTGCTGGTGATACAAAAACAAATGTGAAATAGTCCCTGACCTCAAGGAGCTTACATTCTAACAAGGAGTCCACATCCATATCCACAGATTTATATATAACACAAACAAAGCCGATACAAAGGTAACCTGGGATGGGTGAGGATGGAAGGACAATCTGGGAAGACAATGAAAGGCTTCCTTATCCTCACCACAGCCTTAGGAGGTGCTATATGTACTACAGATATCAATCATCCTCGCTTTTCAGATGAGGAAACTAAAGCCAAGAGAGTTAAATGAACTTGTACATTGTCATACAGCTAATAAACATCAGAGGCAGGATTTAAACCCAGGTTTTGCCTTACTCAACATCCAGCATTTTGTGGTCTGACTATGTATCAGTCCTCGGCTTAAGAAACTCAACTGTCTATCTTGCCTCCGGGATAAAATATAAACTCCTCTGTTTGACTTATAAAGCCCTTCACAGTTTAGCTCCAAATTTCTTCCCAGGCTAATTGATTACACATTTCCCCCTTTACCAGCTCTCGATGTTCCAGTCAAAATGGGCCACTTCCCATTCCCCATATGTGACATTCGACCTTCTACCTCTGGGCCCAACAAGCTCACTTCTCCCTTCTCAATCCACTTGGAATCCTCTCTTCTCACCTCTGCAGCTTGGAATTGCTAAACTGCCTTCCCTGTCTCTAGGACTCCACCTCCTTCAAGAGGCCTTTCTTTCCTGATTCCCTGCTTTGCGTTCAGAAAGGGAGATTGGTTCTGTGGCGCGGGTTCTGCCATTTTCACAAGCTTGTGCTCATGCTTGTCCTCAGCCACCACCAGACTTCCATCAGGCTACCATGGCTCCTTATTCCTCATCCTCCAGAAGGAGTCTGGGAGAATGAACTGCTTCTCCATGTAACTAGAAAAAAATGACTCCCAAAACTTCTGCCATCTTCTCATTTGATGTCAATGGCATCTGAGCATTCTGGATCATGTTTCCCAGATCCAGTCCTTAGGCCACTGGAACCCAGGGAATGATGGGTAGGGGCTCTAACCAGCTGGCCGGTCCCTTCTCTGAATGGAAGGTTTCTGTCGCGATGCCTCTGTGGAGATGGCAAAAGGTGTGGAAGTTACATAGACATGATAAATTCAGGGTTTATGAAGAAGAAATTTTTCAAGTTGATTTCATGGACAGGCTTTACTCTAGGGGTGATTGATCATTGGAAGTACAGCCTGAAGGGAGGGCAGAGGTCATCTAGCTTCCACATTCTTTGTTTTACAGATATAGACACCAAGGCCCCAAAAGGTTAGTGTCTTACCCGAGGTCACTCAGTTGGGAAATAGCCGAACAGGTATATGAACCCAGGTCCAATGACTTCATATTTACTGCTCTTTTTAGTAGACCATCGCTGCTGCGTATATAAAAGACAAAAGGAAATAAAGGCTTAGCAGTTCACCAGCCTCTCACTTTACTTTGTTATTGATAGACTTTATTTTATGGATTTCCTTTGTTATTCTATCCTCTGAATTGTGTTTTACTCTCTTTTATAGAACACGAAGGAGTTAATTTAAAGGACTTTGTTAATGTTTTATCTAAGACTGAAAAATTTTTGGAAGGTCAACGTAAGTATGAATTTCAAAGCAAGGATGATTGAAATCTTTCTATTCTTGTATTAGTGCACCTTTGTGACTTTTTAAATATATGAATTTAACTTTTTAAAAGGGTTTTACCAACCCTCTTTCTTTTCAATTTGACTACTTTATTAATCAGTAAACATTTTCTAAGCACCTACTATGTGCCAGAACTGTGCTAAGCACTGAGGACACAAATGTGAAGAAAGTTTATAATCTAACGAGAGGAGACAACATGCAAAAAGAAGCTGAAAAGCTGGGGGTGCTGGGGGGGCACCCAGCATAAGGGCAATAACGGAGGAGTCAAATATTATTATTAAATAGAAAGATGGTTTTAAATGGCAATTCAGAAACTCTAAACTATTTGTTGCATTTTTTTAAGCTTTATAAAGTTTTGTAAATTTAATTAGTCCACAACTTTTAATTGAGTAGCTTCTATATATATTTTGCTTTTTATTATCAGGTATGTATATTAAATCAAATCAGATCTAGATCCTCAATAAACTTAAAAGTATAATTGGGAAGGCAACACATAGTTAATGAAGACAATGCAGAAGTTAAAAAAATTGTCCATGTTAAATAAATACAATATAGTAAAATAAGAAATGTTACCAGATATAGTAGAAGATTTATTACATAAGTGGCAAAGGCAATAAGTACAAATGAATTCAGAGAAGGAAGATCTCTCTGTTGGCCAGAGTGACATAGAAAGGGTTCATGAAGAGTTAGTTGTTTGACCTGAACTTTGAAGGATGGGTAGGAATTTTGCCCATGATTGCTCCTGGCAAATCTTTAGAGTTCACATTTAGGGGAGCAGATTAGACTAGAGCAGGAGAGGACAAGCCTTTTAGTATATACGTCATTTTTCCAGATCAAAATCAATTTCCCACCTAAAGGAAAAATTTCACAGGGGCCATGACAGAACCATCCTATCCCCATCCTACCTGAGGCCCCCTTCCCCCGCTTGCATTTCTTAGCCATCCTGGATAGTTCGTGTGCATGCACGTGAATAGGTGCACATTTGTGAGAAAGGGCAGGAAGGTGGTTGGTCTGGCTTGGTTTAGAATCAAGTGCTCTTAAAGAGGAGCTTAAGGAGGTCCTGGAGCCAGCCTTGTCAACTGGAACTGACAAAACTATTTTAACTGGCCCAGAGTGCAACCCTTTAGTGCATCCGTTAGCAAAGCCTATCCCTATATCCAACCCGATACTAATCTGGATCCCCACAGTAGAGTACCACCATCTGGAGACCTCATACTGCTTTAACATTCAAAGTTCAAAGGTGAGAAGGAACATAAAGGAATATCCAACAGATAAAAACAGCCCTGGCCCGTATAGCCCTTGAAGTCAAAGAGCTTGTGGTAAATTGCAAATAATGAAGGACAAACCACAACCACACTGATTGTTAATGAAACATTAGCAAGGAAAAGGAGGTTCTGGTTCTAGACCACACTCTTAATTATGAAATGTGTGCCCTTTTATTGTTGGCATGAATTAGTATTTTACTTTTTTCTGCTTAATAAAAAATGATTTTATTACCATTTCATCCAAAGTAGTATTTTTTTATGGATGCAAATAACAACACATGAAGTCTTTCAGTGCCCCAGACTAAGGAGCTCCTGCTCTAGAAAACAAATGCATTCATCAAATTAGTATTTTATATGTTTCTTTAGACTCACCAACCTAATCATTTTACATTTTGATTTATATGTACATGTAGGATTAGAACATGCAGGTGATGTTATCTCAAAAATCTCTGATGGGAAAGTCATGGTCAGTGATCTGGCCCCTACCCTGGAGAGCTTGGGAGTCAAGGTAACTAAAGAAGACATTAGCACGGTATTGCCAGCTGTCAAGATTGATAGTAAGTACTCCAGGTTTCTCTTGGGTTATGTTTATTATGTAAGTATCTCTGTTCATTCAAAAGGCAAAGCTAAATTTCCAGGTGTTCTCCACAAGGTTCAGGTTTGAGGGAAGGATACAGTAGTGGTGAAATGGGAAGGAAAGGAATGAGTATTTATTAAGTTCTTACTGTGTGCCAAGCACAGTGCTAAGTACTTTACAAATATTATCTCATTTGATCCTCACAACGACTTTGTGAGGAAGGTGCTATCTCTTTCTGTTGAGACACCAGGTATACACAGGTTAAGTGACTTGCTCAGTGTCACAGCTAAGGAAGTATCTGAGGCAAGATGTGAACTCAAGTCTTCCTGAGCCCAGCATTCTACCCACTGCACCATCTAGCTGCCTCAGGAACAGTCTTTGGGGATTCATGTTCTTCTCTCTTGAAGTAGAATATGGCAGGAATAGCAATGGGTTGGTTATTAGGGAGTATGCAACAGAGAGGACTTATTAAGGCAGGGCTGTCAAGAAACATGTGACAGGAATTCCATGTAACTGCCCAAAGCAACATCCTATGTCCTGAAGCGCAGTCTGAGTGTCAGTGTACCTATTTATTTCTTGAAACTTTCTATTGGTGATTACTCACTATGCCCAGTTTACAAGGACCTGGTTTTTTCCTGTGGTCCTTTTATTTATTTATTTGTGCCAAGAGAGAATTCCTATACTGGGTTTCCACCCAAATCTCCCCTCTGAGGGAGGCAGAGGCAGCTGGATGGTGCAGGGAATAGAGAGCTGGTCCTGGACTCAGGAAGACCCAAGTTCATATCTGGTCTCAGACACTTTCTAGCTATGTGACCCTGAACAAGTCACTTGACCTCTGTGTGCTTCACCTTCCTCAACTGCAAAATTGGAATAATAATAGCACCTACTTCCCAGAGGTCAAATGGATCAAATGAGATAATATGTGTAAAGCTCTTAGCACAGTGCCTGACACATTTTTTTGGTTGTTGTTGAGTCACTTCAGTCATGTTTGACTCTCTGTGACCCCTTTTTGGGGTTTTCTTGGCAAAGATACTGGAGTGGTTTGCTGTTTTCTTCTCCAGCTCATTTTACAGATGAGGAACTGAGGCAAATTGGGGTTAAGTGACTTGCCCAGGGTCATACCTCTAGTAAGTGTCTAAGGCCAGATTTGGACTCATGAAGATGAGTATCTCTGATTCCAAGCCCAGTGCTCTATCCACTGTAGCACCTAGCTGCTCAGCTGGCACATAGTAGATAATTAATAAATACTCTCTTCTTATGTCATGAAGTTAGTTATAGTCATGAAGCTAATTATCTTGAGGTCATTGTCACCTAATGACTCTTATTAGAGTGCCAGATACTCCAAATATACCCTGTAACTCAAGAAAAGCATAAGAGTGCCCATGACCATAAAAAAAAAGTTTGAATTCAGAATGGTTATTAAAACCAGTAGACCTAAGGAAATGCATTCCACTGAAGTCCTACTTGGCTGCCTTATGGTGGCATCGAGTTGACACTGCGTTCTCCCAGGCTCTGCCAATGGGATACAAGTTCTGACAGATACTGCCAAGCTGGAGGGTTTAAAGTTTGGCCCAATGATGAACTACAGATCTGTTTCTTGAGGGCCAGCCTCACTTACAGAAGCTTATAGAAGCTCATCACCAGGATGGCCAGAGCAATCTCTTGAAAATTATTTACTAAGATGTAGAAAGGACAACAATAGCACTAATATCTCTTTTGCCAGCAATGCTGAACAAGTGTCTCTTGCCAAGTCCACTGGTTATAGAGCCCCAAGACTCTGTTTGGGGTTCTATTCTCCTTTCTCACTTTAACCTTTCTAATTTGGTAATCTTATCAGCTACCAAAGAATCAATGAACTTCTCTATGAAGATGATTCCCCTATGTATATATTTCTCCCTAGTTCCTCTCCTAAACTTTATTCATACATCACCAACTGCCTATTGGGCATTTCTAAATGAGTGTTCCTCAGGCGTCTCATATTCAACATGTCCAAAACAGAGTTCACTATCTTTTCCCCAAACCCTTTGCTCTTCTGAACTTCTCTATTCCTGTTGAGAGCATTAGTATTCTCCTAGTAACCTAAGTTCACGACCACATTGCTGTCCTTGACTCTTTATTCTCTGTCACTCTACATATTTAATCCATTGACGAGTGTCATTTCTACCTCCACAACTTCTCTTATATGTGGGCCCCTTTCTCTGTATTCATACAACCATCATCCTAGCTCAGGCCCTCCTTAATCTCTTGCCAGAACTACTTCAATAGCCTTCTAATTGGTCTCCTTGCCTAACGTCTCTCCCTACTCCAATCCACCCTATACTCAGTTTATTAAAGTAATTTCTCTAAAGCCAAGGTCTGATCATATCATTCCCCTACACAAAAAACTCCATTGGCTCCCTAGTAACC